TCTCCCCCCCCCCCCCCCCCCCCCCCCCCCCCCGCCGACATGGTCTTTCCAGTTCAGAAGCTCTCTGGCTATCTCCCCTCCAATCTGAGTTCTACACCCAGATGATTAGTCCTTCATGTGAGAATCAGACCTGTGGGAAAAAGGATTATTGATCAATTAATCAAATGCACATTATGAATCGATTGCAACTAAATGGGACTAATGGCAGGTTTGTCTTCCTTTATTTCCAGTTTGAGCCATCAGAGGATCACTGTGGCTTTAAGAAGAAAATGAGAAGTTTTGCCTCACTAACTCAACATGTTTGGGAACTTTTCACATCAGAGAGGCAGCCTGGCTGGAAGAAGCTGTTACAGCTTTTTGCAGTTTGCTGTACAGCTAGCTTCATCTCAAGCAGTTTCTTGTTTCTTAGCTTGTACTCCTCCCTAACACATTTTCCTTTGGTTACCTTAGCAATTGTTGCATCTGTCTGGATTGCCCTTTCTATTGCATTGTTTTCTTCCAAGTGTGTGCGTTGCTTTGCAGCCTTGTTTGTTCTTTCTTGTGGACTGCGTGAAGGTAGAAATGCTCTTATTACTGCTGGCACAGGCATAGTGGCAGCTGGCCACATCCAAAGTATTTTTCACAACATAAAAGTACTGGCAGACAGTATAACTTGCAATATAGAAGCTGAGCATTTTGCCTTGATAAAACACTATGTTAAAGCCATCCAATGGATTTATAGTCAGATCAAGTTTTCATATAACCCTTTTAAAGATATAGTGTCACTGAGTGATGAATTCAATACCTTTTATATCATTTCTGATGAAGGTTTCAAACTGAGGCTAAATACCACCAAACAACAGATCCAAAGTGTTACTAGCCATATATCTTCTATTCTGGCAATACAGCCCTACATAAGCCAGAGGCTGCTTCCTTTAATGGGACTTATTCTAGTTGTTCTTGGTACGTACCTCTTCATCAGAAAATTTGTGAGCCCTCAGAGTGCAAAGTTTAAGAATATTTATATCACAAAGCGGTTCATTGGATTTGATGAGCAGCAAAAGAATCAACAAAAGCCATCTGTGCTTCCACTCAATAAAAAAGAGAGGAAGGTGTATTTAACCATCCCATCCCTCAGCCTAACACAGAAGGAAAAGAAAAACATAGGATTTTTTTTTCTCCCTGTGTTTACTAATCTTTGTATCTGGGCTCTGTTTGCAGCAATAGATTATATGCTTTATTGGCTAATTTTTTCAGTGAGCAAGCATCTCCAAGAATTACCAGAGATAGAAGCTCATTTGAAAGTCTATTACCAAGTAAGTTCCTTGCTTATAATATCATTTTCATATATTGCCCATAAATGTTAATATAGAAAAACTTCCCCTGATTTTAATGGTTGCTTGATTGGGTCTATAGCTAGCATACCTCCAGTTATTTCATGTCAGAAAAAGCATTATAATCCATCTAAAAAGGTATTTCTAGTAGGGCTGTTATTATAGTGCCTCCATAGCAAATACAGTCATTCAAATAACATTGTTATATAGGACCAGACAATTGTCTGCTTTTTTGGGGGTTCATCATATTTCAATAGAAAGTGATACAGAAGGGATACCATTATCAGACATTCAATACAGTGCTTTATCCTGGTGAAAGTGCACAGAGAGATATGACTATCATTACTTGCCAAAGAGATGGTGCCTATGGTTTGGAGTTCCACGCAGGCTTTTCTGATTAAAGCTTAACCCTGGAAGTCTGTCAGTTATGATGTCTTTGTGGGACACCACGTTTACAGTTTAAAATAACACCAGGAAAGTGACAGAGGGCATGTCTTGGTGTTTAGCTGAATTGCACAAAGATTACACCATTTAAAGCAACACCATAGCACACAGATGTTAAAACAATCTTACTCACTTCCAGTTTTCCATTGGTATATTGTGCAGTAATATTTATGTATATATACAATGCAGCTTCTCTCGTAAGTGAAACAGAAAGACAATCTCATTACTTTTTAAATGATCATTCCTTGTATAGGAAGGATTTCCATCAATAAGAACAGCCCAGCCAGTCACAGGAAGCTAAAGTAAAGTGCCTCAGACAGAATCAGTCCAAAGACCAAGTTCCAGGTCTTGGCTTCCACAAGGAATTTGTAATCCCACTTCTGCTTCTGTTCATAACAGTTCCCCCTTCTTAGCTTGCCCCACTTGAACAGAATTATCATAAGCTACCTAGTAGCAAGTTACCATGGGCATCATTTAATGATTAATTAGAGAGTTCTGCAAGTGTGGTGTATTAAAAGAAGATGTTTTAGGGGAGAGACTGATATCAAATAATATTTCAAAATAGGACCCGGCATTTGGACACAACAGGAAGCCACATTTGTTTCTCTAGAGATCAGACTTAGATGAGAAATGTGGCTTTCTGCTTAGTAGGAGCTTTATGATGACTGGAATTTATTTTTAAAGATAGGAAGATTCCTGCTCTTCTGTGTCTTGGAGACACTTATGAACTTTATTCTATTTTGATTTACCTATAGGAATAACATTCCTAGTTATTGATTAACTGGTTGCACACTAGTAGCTTCTTCGTTAGGAAGAAATCTCTACCTAAATGTTCTAGAGTTTTCTAATATTTCACATTTTAACTGTGTGAAATGGATATTCTTGGACTCACCCTTTTATCATCAAGTTGCAAAACAAAGCCCCTGATCTCTCAAGTTGCTCCATGGAATTAGATCCTTATGTCTGTGTTGAGTCAGGTAGACTTAAATGAGGCCTTTTAGGAGGTCTGTCTACCTAGGGTGTGTCACAGGATCAGGGCCTGAAATGCCTCTATGAAATGCCTCTTGATATCTCAGGTATCTAAACATTTCTAAGGGATTATAAGATTATTCCTGCAGGGTGGCACATGTTCCTTCTTGTGTTAATTTCTTGCTACTTAACAAGTGCATTTCCTATTACTTCCTCTTAGAGTTGATTATGCTGAGCACTCATTTTCCCCAAAAGAATTAATTTATCCCAGGAGCAATTATAAAAATCCCAGGTGTTCTGGAGAGCAAGGTTCTTAAGATGAGTAATGTAACTAGCACTAGGCTTCCAATTACAACCAAACAGAAATTTAGTGTTTGATTTGGGAAGGAGAGTTTCCTCCACTCTCTCATGGATGAGATAGTTCATTTCAGTAAATAAAATTAAAATGATGGCCCCTTGATAACGAAAGCAGAGAAGAAACTCAACTTCAAATCTCAGAGATGACTCAGTTCAAATCCATTCCTTCTGACCTCCTGAGGAAGGTGTCTGTGTCTTTCCTGTAAGAATCTCTCCACTGGAGATTTGTGCCTCTATTTCAGGAAGATAGCTTCCTGAAATAGAGGCCATGGACAGACAAGACTTGCCCTGGAGTAATTTACATTGGTTTAATATGCTGAAACAAACTACATCAGATTAGTATTGGACAGAAATGCAGTTATCCCAGAATAGTAGCCTTTAGGAAATGGCTACTCGGAGATGGATTCAGACAGATGAAACCCAAATCAATAGTTTTACCCCTGATTCTTTTTGGGATAATTCTTCACTCAATTAGACAACTTGACTTCAGTTTAGGTGTTGAGTTATCTATTTGTTATATTTTTTCACCTAAGGCAGCACTTTCTAACAAGATGATACTGCCCAGTAGCTCCCTGCTCACCTAGGGATGTGGCACACTTTAGTTCAACTCCTCCCTTTTGCCTGCCTTAAATTTCTCTCTCTCACCTCCAGGGAGCATGCCTTAGCCACCATATTGTAGACTATTCTAGGCTCGGGTACATTCATTTCTTCATGTTGAACCTCTTCTACTTTGCACATAATAAATACATTTTCATTGAGCCAAAGAGAGAAAGCAGGGAAAGCACACAGTAAGTCCCAACCTTTTAGCTAGGTTATTCAGCATAAAAGAGCCATAGCAGCTCAGATCTTCACAGCAAGCAGGGGTGGGGGGTGGGGGGAATCTCCAATCCCTCATCTCCACTGAGACAGGCACTTTGCCTGAAAGAGTTGGCTCCAGACAATACCTACTGTTCATTTGGACTCATAGTGCCTCAAACAGGGGTCTGTGTGAGATCCTAGCCATCCAAACATAGGGCCTGGGAATCCTTCCTAACCTATTCTGTGTCTAAGCAAAGATGTCTGACACTTTTTTAACTTCTGAACATCCCTAAAGAAAGCATTCTCTATAGTGATTTTCATGTTATCACCTACCCCAACCAGGAGAGTGTCCTTTCTGAAGGGTGCTCCCAGCCTCTGAGCAGAGGGCTCCACTGGGGGCAACCCAGTCATCTCAGTAGGTGGCAGCTTGTACCCATACAAAGGTCCCATGGGGAATGTTCCCTACAAGATCAGTAGGGTCTGTAGGAATGATGGGAAGGCTCCCTCAAGCATTGTGTATGAGGATGTTGCTCTGCCTTGGGTCTTTCTGGGGGTGCTAACCTCTCAGACTTCCCAAACAGTGGGCTTTGTGCCCCCATGCCCCTGTTATTTTTCCATGTAGCTGCTTGCATCCCCCTCTACAGCAGTACAAGCAGCAGGCTCTGTGCCCCTTTCTTTTCCCCACATCACTTCAGGAGAATATGTAGGTGAGGTTGCAAGGGGATGGGGTTACTAGGAGACAATTCCCTTTATGTAACCCTAAGCCATCTTCTTCCTATCAATGTAAAGGAGGATCTCTGTTAACTTCAAAAAGCTTTTAACTAGAGCTGGTCAGGACATTTCTAGCACAATGTTCTTTTTTATTCCTTTGGAAATTGTGTTTTCCACAAAAACAAAATGTTTGGGGGGAAATCCAAATAAAACACTTTGGGCAGGTATTCCACAAATTCAAATATTTAATGTGGTCAGATTGAATTAAAATATTTCATTTTGGGTCAGTTCAACATTACTGTAAATCAGGGGTGTCAAAAAAATGGTCTGTGACCAGATCCAACCCATGGAGCCATGTCACTGGCCCACAGGGGTCCTGGAGGGGTTGGGAATTCAGGGGCAGAGGCCCATTGGGGCATGTGTTGGTGGTGTGGGGTGAGTGATGGCTATGTTAAGCCCCATGCCCTGCTACTTGAGGTGTCTGAATCTGACCTGTTAGGAGCCGCAGGGTCCAGATCCAGCTCAGGGGGTCAAACCAAATTGACACTCCTGCTCTATTACTTCTTGATTGCTCTGGTGCTGCATGGGACTTATATTTTGCCTGCTTCATGACCACATTTTCATTACTGGCTCTCTTTGGCCTAACTACATTTCCAGAATACACTGCTGAACCAGTGCAATGCATCATAGGCTTTCCATGATAATAATACATCACTGAAATGTAGTCTGTGTGGGAGGCCTAGGCAGCAGAGGTGAGGAGGGAGGTGAGGTACCTGAAACACCATTTTTTGAGAGTTGGGGGAAGCTCAGGTAAATGCATGCTAGTACTGAACTGAGCTGAAATACAACTTTTCTTCATTTCATTAGAACTTTTCATTTCTCAAAAGTCAATATTTGACTTAAACATCAAAATATCTGAATTTCCCATGAGACAGAAAGCTGAATTTTTGCCCAGTTGTACTTATAACAGGCAACTCAGCAGTTCTGACCCTTAATAATGGGCCGAGCTACACATACACGGTGATCCAGAGGGGCCCAAATTACAATCAGCAGAGAGTAGGAGGCGCTCATAGAGACGCATTTTCTGAGGGATGTTGTCATCTAATTACTGTACAGTTTTCTCAAATATCTGAAACAACCCTGGCTCCTAGTAGATTCAAATCCCAGCAGCAAAATTCCAGCCTTTATCTAAAAATTTTCATGTCTGGGGAATTTGGGCCTTTCCCTTGGTTCAAGTGCCTGAGATGGGGCTGTCCACATTAAAAAACACCCCTGCTTACACTGGATGCAAGAGTTGTCCATTTCAGAGATGCAAACCAAAAACTGGATAGGAAGAATGAACTATGCAATCTCAGGAGAGATTTATTCCAAGCAAAGGGTTGTACATTCTGGCCCATTTTTGAACCCATATTTGATACTGAATCTCTACACTAGCTCAATTATATGTTGACTTCATATGTATATTTCCTCCACGCCTTTTAATTCTAGAATGAACTCCATTGGATAGTTCTAAAAACAGGAAGAAAGGTTAGTACAGAAGCAGAGAAAGTAAGTTCTAAGGAAAATTTATGTATCAAATTATGTCTTCAGTTACAGTAATGTAAATCTGGACAAAGGAGCATATAATTTAGACAAAAAGTCTTTAAATATCTGAAGAATGTAAAAGGAGAAGAAAAATCAGCAAGCATGAGGTGGGAAAACTTTAAAATAAATAAAACCACCAATATCAAGAGACAGTTTCTGATAGCATGAGTCCCAAGTTTGTGGGACTGTGTCCCCAAAGAGTAGTACAAATCCTATTACTTAGCACATCTCAAAAAAACCCTGAAGGGTTCAACATACATACAGTTACGATGAATCCTGCGTTGACACAGAAAGGACTAGATCATTAATAGAGCGTGTGTACATCACAAATGTGATTCTGCTTATCTGAGGTGCAAACAAAATTTTTTTTAAACTATGTTTTGTATTTCTCCCATGCAGAAAAATGAGGACAGTTTCATTATCAATAAAGGAAAAGTCATTCAAAATAATTTTCATTTGAAGATTCCTCTGTTTAAACATGACTGCATTCCTAAACCAGAGTTTTCTCTGCTCTCAACATGGATCCAGATTGGAGTCATCACCTTTTTCTTAATCATATTTGGATTATTCTCCAGTATCCTGGTTCAGCTTAAAGTACTTGTGTCAAATTCATTCTATCCCAACATAGAGATGACAAGGATGCATTATCTGCATTCGAAATTACTGAGATATAGAGAAAAGCCTCCACAGAAAAATGTGAAAAGGAAACTTAACTCATTTGCTCAAACGGTAAGCCATAAATACTATGAAAAAAAAAATCTTTCTCTACAGGTAGCTGCAGGATTCAGGTCTGGATTCAGATGAGAACTTTGCCAAAGTCCAGATGGTTTAGTCTTCCCACTTTTTGTTTGTCCTGAAGAGCAAACAAGTTCAAATCTTTCTCGTAGGCAAATTATCTCTGTCCCCAGTTCAGAGATAATTTGCCTGCCAGAAAGATGTGAACAGAGTTATGTCAGCATGTTTTCTTCTCCACATATCACACACAAAACACATAAGCCCCAATCCTGTGGCCAGGTGGGGAGGACCCCATATGGACAACAGGATCAGGGCCTTAGATTGTCAAAACATGCCAAAGCTCAAGGCATATCTATGAAAGTCCACCTTAAAATATGTAGGGGGTAGTGGTCTAGTGGGGCACCTATACATGTGCCTGATGCCTGCTTCAAGACATGTTAATTAGCACACATTGGAGCAGACTTGATTAATTGAACAAACTTTAGTTAAAGCAGCACTGCCACAATCTTGAAGCACAGGATGCTGAATACATGAGATGCTGTGGGTGCTTTAATTAGATTTAAGGTGCTGGGTGGCTGTGTTGTTGAAAGACTGGTACTCAGTTGGAATCTGATACATTTTTCTGTCTTCTTAGCTCCAATTCTGGTTCCCAATATTCAAGGCAATGGGGACAATCAGGAAGAAAGAAAAAGACATGATAAATGAAAACAAGGTTTGAAAGAGGCCACATAACTGTTTGGATAAGCTCAAGGTTCGTTGTGCAGCAAGTCCCTGCATATTGTACCTGTACTGCTTTTGCTTTTAAAAATATTTCTGTAAAGTACTGTCAGTTAATTTCCATATTATATTTAAATGTTAAAGAAGTAAACATAGCTCCCGCAGGACAGCAGGCTGCAGTTGTTTGGCAATGCTGGGACGTTGCAAGCAAGCAATACGAAATAGCACTTGAGATTTCCCGGCGATGTCTGGCACTTGTGCAATCCTTTAGGGCCTGATACTCATTAATTTTGTGGCCATGCTACACCGCTCTGGGAGTCTTGCTCTGTAATTATCACACTGACTCTGTGGCCCTTTTAACATATGAGCAAAAAGTCATTTCACTGTACATGAAAACTTCAAACCAATCAAACTCGTTAATCATGGGTTTAACTTTAAGCATGTGAGGTTCCCTTTGAAATTATTGGCACTACTTATGAGGTTGCATAGGTAACCTGAATCCTGGCATTTCCTAATTTAAAAGTGCTTCACTTTGCATCCTGTGGTCTTTTAACACAGCTCCTTGGCTGAAAACAAAAACAAATGAGCTAGGGGGGAAAGAAACCCAGAAATTGCATCATGTTGATACCAGTTAATCAGAAAGGGATGAGACATGTGCTAGTGGGTTTCACTTGTTAATGGCAAAGGTTGGTGAAGCCTAAGGAGACTTGTTTTTCTATTCTTGGCTCTAGAAGTAAGTGTGTGAAGTCAGCCCACACTTGACCCCTTCTGCTCAATCCCCTATAATCTTTTTCCAAATCCAAGCTTCTCATCCCATCCCCAGACTCCTTGCCCCACACCACTCAGCACTTGTTTTCAGTCCTAGTTTCCATCTCTGGCCTCTATCCAATCCCAGACCCCACCATTCAGGAGGTGCCAGCAGTCAGTAACACCAGTACCTACAACAGTGGTGAAGCAGGGAACTTGGCAAACACAGGAAGGGGATTGTTCATAATAGACTGAGATATAGTCTGTTATGAACATGAGACACTTTACTGCAAAGCAGAGCTAATTACCGTGTATTAAATGTCACTGTCTATGTGTGTAGACCCTTACTGCGCAGTTATCTGCTCTACTTGGCAATTAAATTGTTACCTACATTACGTGCCTTACTGTGCAGTAACTACTTGGCACTTAATTTCCTAATAATATTTGGATTATTCTTCAGTATCCTAATTCAGCCAGGTAACAAATTACCTGCCGAGTAGTTACTGCATAGTAAAGCACATGTAGATGGCCAACCAAGAGCTTATTTGCTACTGGTCAGCTGGGCAGCAGGGGGCAGGACATTACTCCCTACCCCTGGGAGCTCCCTGCTGTTGGGATGGGTTCCAGTGGCTGAACCCAGGTGGGGACTATGCCCCGGCATCAGGGAGTTCAGAGATTAGCAGGAATGAAAGAGATGATAATGAACCATAAAGTCAGTTGACTCTCTTGGCACTGCCTGAATAGAATATAGAAATTCTGCTGCCCCTCCCAGAGAGTTGGTTTTAAAACTTGGGTGGAACAGGAATCAAAGAGGAGTGCAGCTGCACCACTGCACTCGCCCTGGATGCACCCCCAGACACAGAGATGTGTATGATTTAACAAACTCACTCCAGAACTATGAATGGAACCCATGGCATATACGGCCCAGTCCGTGCGTTGAGCCAGACACTGTTTTCTCCCTCTCAGCTACAGGGAAAAAGCAGCTAAACACAATTACTCTAAAATGTTTGTGTAAACCCCAGTCTGTCATTGACACAAATGTCCCCAGTGTAAAGTAATAAAGATTTATTTAAAGTTTCCAGTATTGAATGTCTGCAGTTACTTTCCACTTAAATGAATATGAAGCTACTCTCTACAATACTTGTATTATATTGCCAAAGGCAAGTTGCAACTGTTGCGGTGAGATATTGCTGTTCTAGCCTGTTCTGACTAGGTTAAACCCATGTGAAAAGGTTTGAATAAATGTACCAGCTATACCATGCCATGCAGATCTTCATCCCCTCCTCCCCACCAAGGATTTTATGAGTCAGCATGAAAGTGCAGCACAAAGCAGTATAGAGAAGTAAATCTGAACAGAATTAGTCATCATCAACTACTCACAATCTGATGCAGAATGCTGCATGGAACTACCTTCCCACGGCAAGTGGAAAATACAGAACAAGTTTGAAGTATGACATACACTTTAAGCCATTATTACTGAATGCTTTCAATATCTTAGATCTCTTGTTATTTTTCTAAAAGAGTAAAGCGTCAAGCTAAGTGTCCCTTGGTCCTTTGAGTTCCTGTCTCTACCCACTCAATGTGAGAACAATTTAATCCTCTGTAGATGTTGATGGCATGGTGGACTAGTGACAGCCTTTTGCCTCTAGAAATATGCATTCTTGATCACAAGAGTAAGCTGCATAAGGGACAGGCTGAATAAAACCTATTTTTCACATGCTGTGGCTGCAACAACTACCCTTATTAATACTGCAGTAACTCTAGCTACCTTAAGGGCCCCATGTACTGTTGAGCTGCCCCTCTACTTAGGCTAATAGTAAATTGGACCTTGAAGTCCAGGTGGGGAAAGAGGAGAGGTAGTACAGCTGGAGGAAAGTAAGACAGTCATCAGAAGAGCTATCTGCTACTTGCTGCAATTCTGCCAGAGATGCTCTGCTCCAGGTGGGATTCAGTCACTTCTCTCATTGGCATGCTTGACATAATATAAGCATCAGTCACTGGAGTTGCATCTCTTTAATATCTCTGCTTGACTCCTACATCCCATATATCAAGCCATTGATGGAAGGTAACTAACAAGTTCTTTTTCAGGTTTTTAGGGAGCAAAAGGAAGGTGCAGGGTAGCATAGGACCCTACAGGACAAACTAGGGCAATTGGTGACAGAGAGTGGGGGACAAAGCTGAGCTCTTCAGTGAGTTCTTTGCATCTGTATTCCTAGACACAAACCAAGACAAATCTCCCAATTGGACTGTAGATAGACACAGGAGGGACACCAGCCCACCAACTGTTAGCACAGGCTTAGTGAAGGGGCACATGGAGGGCCAGGATGTGTTCAAATCAGCAGGCCCATATGAACTTCATCCCAGGGTGATGAAGGAATTGGCCAGTCATAGCAGAGCCAGTGGCACAGCTGTTTGAGCACTAATGGTGCGCTGGTCAGGTCCCAGAGGACTGGAAAAGGGCCAATGCAGTCCGTATTTTCAAGAAGGGGAGGAGGGAGAAACCGGGAAACATTAGGCCAGTTCCTCTCACCTCTACGCTTGGGAAAACTCTGGAAAAAATCATTAAGGATCGCATTTGTGGGAGCCCAGCAGGGGAAATAATGCTGAAAGGAAATCAGCACAGGTTCATTGCAGGTAGAACCTGCCTGACTAACCTTGTTTCTTTTTATGACCAGGTCACAAAATGCTTAGATGCAGGAATTGAGGTAGATGTTATCTACCTAGACTTTAAGAAGGCCTTTGATACAGTATCGCATTCTGGTCTCGTAAATAAACTGACAGGTTGTGATGTAGATGCTTACAGGTGGGTGGCAAATTAGCTTAGGGGTCGCACCCAGAGAGTGATGGTGGATGGGTCGATATCGACCTGGAAAGATGTGGGCCATGAAGTCCCACAAGGCTTGGTCCTTGTACCAGTGCTATTCAATGCCTTCATCAGTGGCTGGGACGAGGGCGTAGAGAGCACCCTGTCCAAGTTCACAGATGATACCAAATTATGGGGCAAAGTAAACACACCAGAGGGTAGGGAATGGATCCAGGTGGATCTGGACAAGTTGGAAAAATGGGCAGAATGAAATAGGATGCAGTTCAACAAAGACAAGTGCAAAGTGCTGCACCGTGGCAAAAAGTACCACCAACACACTTACAGACTGGGGGATGACCTTCTCAGTAGGCAGAAGTGGAAAGCGGATAGTTGACTCCAAGATGAACATGAGTTGTCAATGTAACGAAGTGATCAACAAAGCTAACTGCACTTTATCATGCATTAGCAGATGCATGACAAACAGGTCCAGGGAGGTGATACTTCCCCTCTGCGGCACTGGTCAGGCCGCAGTTGGAGTACTGTGTTCAGTTTTGAGCGCTGCACTTCACAAGGGATGCTGAGAATCTTGAGGGATCAGAGGAGGGCCATTCGCATGGTCAGGGGCCTGCAGGCAAGGCCCAGCAAGGGGAGACTGAGGGACCTAGATCTCTTCAGCTTTCGCAACAGAAAGCTGAGAGGTGATCTTGTGGCTGCCTATAAATTCATCAGGGGAGGGCAGCAGGGAATAGGAGATTAGGAGATGCTTTATTTACTAGGAGTAACTAGGAACAATGGTCACAAATTGATAGACAGCAAATTTAGGTTGGACATTTGAAAGAACTTTTTCATAGTAAGGGTTGCCAGAATCTGAAATGGGAGGTGGTGCTCTTCCTCGCCTTGGGGGTCTTCAAGAGGAGACTGGACAAACACCTAGCTGGGATCATCTGACCCCAGTGCTCTTTCCTGCCCAGGGGAAGGGGTGGGACTTGATGATCTACTGAGGTCCCTTCCAACCCTACCATCTATGAATCTATGATAGGGCAAAAAGAAGCAAGTAAGGAAAGAGAAAATGAAATATTTGGGAATGGGAAAAAGAAAATTCCAAATAGCCCTCAAAACTGAAGCTGAAAGGGCTCCTTTATATTGAAAAAAAATGGAAATGTGGAGGGGACACATTTCAGTTCCCTAGATATTCCATGGGGAGTGGTAGCAGATGGAGGAACAGAAATGAATAATCATGGAGAGTTTATTATTAACATATTGCCCACGTACTGACACACTCACTGCCAGTGTGATTCCAGTTTTGCTCTTTGTAGTAGAGGTCTTAGAGCAGGATCGATGGGGACTCCTCTTTTACATTTCCTTCTCTAGATTGATTAAAATACCAAAGAGAAGGGGTTATGCTAATGTATGTATATGGAGCTAAGAGTTATGCTGAATTTGGTAACAGAAATCAAATCTATATACCTAGTTTTCACTGGAGTCTCCCCTGCTTCCCTCCCTCACCCCTTTATGTGTGTGTGCCTCTCTCTTCCCCCTCCTCCCTCTTGGGAGCTTGCAGAAAATGTTAGTGATATGAAATCTTCCCTCTAGAAATCTTGAACCATCTGTCAGCAGGTCACTCTTGCTTGGTTTGCTGGAGGATGGTACACTTCCAGACCTTTCTCCTGTTTTTCTTTAAGTTTGGGTAAGTTTGGGGTTTTCTTCTTTTCTGGTCCACTTTGTGAATTACTTCCCTTCTCTAGTGGGTGGTCAAATGTTCAGGGGTGAGTTTCCTGCATGGACTTGTTTCCTTTTATAGAGTTAATTTGTTTGCAAGGGGCTATTAAAAAAAAATCAAAGGAATCACTGGCAGTGCCTGTACTCTGTGGGTAACCTGAAAGAGAGGCCAACCAAAGAGTAGAGATGAGTAGATAACAAGTATCAGCTACTAGGTCTGTGCAAAGTTTCAGGTGCTGATTCGATCTGGAGGAGATTCAGTTTGATTTGGTGGCCAAATCTCCAAATTTGAATTGAATCAGGGGACCAATTAAAAGGTCCGAATGAATTCAAAGCTCTCCAAATTGATTTGGAAAAGATTCAGAGAGCTTTGGTGATTTGGGCAGTCCTCACACGCTGCAGCAGGGAGCTGGACCCAGACTCTGAGCTGGTAACTAGGGGGCAGGGAAGGGGAGGCTGGAAAAGGGGGGGACACCATAGGGGACCCCTACAAGGCCCCATCCCATG